TATCGTATAGGCGTTTCGTCCACACGGATCCGGCGTTTTGGGAAACCGATATTTTTTTTGAAACCGGGTCCCAGAGTGGATAAATCTGAAAATGCTACCCTTGCGTTTTCGTGTGGACAGCAAATCCATATATTTTCTGAAACACTGACGTCATCAGCCCACGTCAGACACCGCTACGTCACGTAACAGCAACAAAAACATGAACAAACACTGAACGATTGTCTTTTTATTAACTAACATTAACAAAGATTAATAAATGTATTGTTCCATGTTCGCGTGCAAGGTTTATGCGCATAGTCCAAGTCGTCTTCTCCGTTTTTAATGTATCTCTGTGGCAGAATTACAGCGCCACATACTGGTCTGGCATTTATACTACATCGTTTTGTGTCGGTTTCGTGGTTTCGTGTGGATGCAGATATTTCTTGAGACGAGGAGGAAAAAAAGATTGCATAGGGAAAGCTCTGGCTTCATGTGGACGTAGCCTGAGACATACATGTCCTCTTCCTGAGGTGTCTTCACCATCTGATCGTTAGGTCCTGTGTTTTGGCGGGGGATCAGAGGAGGCAAAGGTTTTACTTTCGGTCAGGCACTGAAAAAGGCACACTGCTGAAGAGGTCCTCCCCCGACATCGGGACTGATTTTACACGCTTTTGCTTTTTCACACTGCCTGAATCAGAGGAGCAAACAAAAGAACGTCTCTCTTTTTTAGGGGACTCGGAGACTGTTGAAAGTGCAAACCAGCGAGGGAAGGTGACCCCCGACCTCACATTTACCAAACGTGTCTCTCAGAGTCCCGAATAGGAGGGGTGATGGGAAAGGTCAAAATACGTCACCGTGAGTGATGTCAGAGCTGTCAGGAGCCCTGCCTTGTGTCCAAGTCCTCACCAGCGCCACAGATTAGGGTCCAAGCTTTACAGAGGGATGACACTTGCCTACTAGAAACGAATGTCAGGGGCATTTTTTACCTTTAAGGACACTGTTTTTAAACAATTGTTGTCCCTTTATACTTCAATAAAGTGGGGTCATAAAAACTACGATGGCTGTTTATTATAAAATTTAATATTTTTTAAATGTAAATGTATAAAGTTACACTCCCTTGTGAAAAAGAAATACACTTTAGTACATTTAAAAAAAAAATTATATAAAAAAAATTATAATTAAGTGTGAACTGAGTGTAATGTTTTGGGACACTTAAGTGCATGTTAATTGCAATTAAATTAAATTGTATTACAGTTTAAATTAATATTATATTCACTTAACTTAAGTGTTTTTTTACACTTAAGTAGGACTTAAGAAAAATCTATAAATAAAAAAAATCTATAAAATTTAAAACTATATATGAAATAATTATAAAACTCTCTATATAAAAGAATTATGTGTTTGAAATATGGTTAAAGTGAACTGCTGAATGTACTGACAAGGAATTATAGTAAATTAAACTATAATTTAATGTAATTTCTGTTGAAACATGAATGCCATGTATTTATATATATTTGTAATTAAACGTTTATAATGATGACGTTGCAACTAAGTACATTTAAAATATTTAAATATCATAGTTTTATTGAATAACACCCTGCAGTTAAAATCATAATCAAGTACTTTATATGTGCTTTATGTTAGTCAACACATCAGAATAATTAAAACATAAAGATTTTAAAGTAAAACATTGTATTTTACATTATTACAAAGTGCACTTTTAAATAGACAAAACTTCATAACATCATTTAATCAGATACTAATGCAATATTGGGAAAAACTCAAATAATAATCGTCCAGACATATCAAAGTAATGCTAGAACATTTAGAAAGATAGAAACAATGTGTTACTCCAAATAATTGTAAAGAAAATATTGTCAGAATGAAAAAAAAATGTCTTAAAATAGTCTTAATTTTCTTTGTCCAAAATATAATTATAATTTTTTTGACCATAATATGCTTTGACATTTTGTCGCTTGCCATGGCATTTTGCCTCGAGCCCTGGTTAACCCTGCTCTGCATGTTTTGGCCACCTAGTGCACTATCTGACTGACATGAGGGCCTATAAAACCAAGTGCAATCGTTTACTAGTACCTGCCACCGAAACAAGGGTGCAAAACAGAGGCAGACCTTTAAAACGCCAGTGTGGGGTTTGTTACTCAGGACCCTGATGACACAGTAAGACGCTGTATTGTCCCGGGACACAAAGGCTTCTATTTAGGTGTGGGGTAATCACAGAGTGTCCGGCTGGGCTGGAGGAATTCCTCGGCCTCATGCGGGTTCTCCTGCCTAATCTAGTCCTGGATGGGAGGGGAGGCTGTGCGGAAGTAGCTCAGTGGTCCTTCTCTTTAGCAACATAATTTATGACCATCTAGAAGTCTGGCTCTAACATTGCAGATGTAGGAAGAGGAGGAGAGACATTACAGAAACAAAGACAGGGGTGTGAGACTGTAAACTATGATTGGTGATGGTCTGACATGCAGTCGATATGATAACGTTGTAACTACTGTGCTGGTGGTTCTCCAGAGAGGTCAATAAAGCATAACTAAAACTGTCTGAATATCATTCCAGTAAATATTAAAACGTCAAATTAAGTGCATATATTTTAAAGTAGCACATGTATACTTTTTCGACAAACATTTGTAATCAATTGCAATGACATACATGCATTTTTAACTGCGGCCAAACAATTTTCAAGGCTAAAAAATGTGTAGTATCTACTTCTAAACAATTTTCACTCACATATATATACATATATATATATATATATATATATATATATATATATATATATATATATATATATATATATAT